GAGAATGAGTATAGAGCATTTACAATGACATGAGGTGACCAGCCAGCAGTACTTCTACTCTCCTAGACGAGTCCGACCCTGCAGGGATGGAAAGCTCAGTGGGCTAAGCAAGGATCGAACAGAAAACTATCGCCGGGCCTTGCGTTTGTGATTGTTCGGGTTTTGCCACAACACCACCTCCTCATAGTTTTTTCACCATCTCCTCTGAAATTGATTGCAAGAAATGAAAATAGAATGGCTTTGATGTTCTGATTCAATGGACGAAAACAGCTATACCTTCAATTCCAACCCCATTACCCAGCGATTGCGGAATGTCCCTTCGAACAAGTATAAGTATGATCTATATATAGCGTACTGGTACACACTTCTAACTGGTTTGACTCCGGTCACTTTCAAGTGGAAAGGATTCAATCTATGAAAATATGAGTAGAGTCTAGCGATCGATTCGAAAAAATCCAGCCTTGATGATTTGGCGACGAGAAGTCCGGCACCTGAAGTGACCACTTGACAATGAGCTCACATTGACACCTTCCTGGCCGGTCAGCCACCACGGCTCGTTCTAACACTCTTCACATCCGTGCACTGCTATATCCATAGCTGGCCATTCCTTTTTATTTGTTTACTTGTTTACAAACACAAATGAATATCCACGTTGGACCATACTCGACCACGAACAATAAAAAACGATTCCGTAGCTTCGTCCTGCCGAAGGGCTATAGAAGCAGTGTTTTCGGAGCTGAGAAAAAAAGATATTATTTACCCCCGCAAACCGAATTATGGAGATTTTTTCGAATCCTTCAATCTATTATAATTTAAAGCCTAGAGCGCCATTTTTTAAGACTCTCATTTTCAATCTACAATACACCGTTCATAGAGAACAATTGAATTTCTCTCAGACAACTATCGCCATCCTGCGAAGTTGATAAGAGGAAAACCTTGAAAGTATATATTTTTTTGAATTTTTATTCGTATCCTTCTCTCAGCAAGTACACTACTGAATCGATGTAAAAACTTAGTAGGAAAGCTGTATCCGAGGACAAATCGCCCATAAAAAGCAAACTTTATTTTTTAAATTCCCGTTTCGAAGAAATAGAAAGTAGAAATAGAAGAATTTCCGTCTGACTGGTTATTTTTAGTAATTCCGGTCACCTCTACACAACCAGGTCTATTCCTTTCCGTGTTGATAAAGATCTCCAATCAATTGTCGGCACACTCATCTCATGACTGTTTACTTTGGAACGATATTCAAGAGCCGTAGAGCGGTTTCAAGACCGTTCTGCTGCAGAGCTGATACAGAATGCGTTTAGCGATAGATCCGCGGCTGGTTTTCAACGGTTCTAAGAATACTCAGTACTGCACCTGTAGTTTATTGACCGCTCCCTCCCCTCCTATCCAATCCATCCTTCTGCGCAATCTCTTCGGCATCGTATTAGCTGAAACTTGAAGGTGACGAACTAGCTGATACTTCAATGTGATGACAGTATTTCCAATCAGTGGATTTTAAGGATGTGGCCTTGTTTCGTTAAAGGCACAGTTCACAATAAAATCGGCCATCTGTGATGCTGTGAGGTGAAAAAGCGATCTGGAAAGACGCCATAAGTGTTCTAAGAACGACTTTATTGGCGCTCACGCCGGAAAGTGGACGTGTTTTCACGGCGTCGTAAAGGCCGCAACATTTAAGGTGGAGCACACATTTTGAGAATTGGAACATATGGCTGTGACCCACGGCAACAGTAGAAGACCATTTAGGCATTTTGACATGCTGCGGCCAACTCTATTCAATTCCACACGGCTATCCCGTTCAATTACACCTTCCCTATCTTTACCGCCATGGTGTTCTCGAACTCCCTACCTTCACTGCTTTCAAAAAATCCTTAGATTTCACAATTTCTCTTGAATTCTTCGCATTTTTATCAATCAATGCAATATTCTCCACCATCACTCCCGCTATACAACTTGAAAAGGGTACCTCGAATATTCGTGAATCAGCCCTTTAAGGAATCGGAGGAAGAGGAATATATAGTTCCTAATGGAGGTGGAGTAATGGAGGTGATAGGATAAAAACATCAGGGACATAATAACTTTTGGAAGCGGAAACATTCGTTATTTTTCACCAGTTCCTACAGCTAACCATCACGGGGGCGGGCGCGAAAGGTGCTAAACGGTACACGGTTGTACGCATGGTCTGAGAATGGAATCATGGCTTGATGCTCGCTCAAGCCGATCGAACCTTCCGTTCCCGGGTCGGCTTCACTGGTACCAGACTAGTCTTGGGGATAGAAGCGCTGAATTGTACATTGGCTGGACACCGCAACTTGTTGCAAGGGCCGCACACGCATTTAATACGCCACTGCATTCTGAATAGAAGTCAATGCGGAGGTGTACGCTTCAGACAGGACTTTTTCAGACTTTATCCAATATTCATCCATTCCATCTGCAATATTATTCGCTATCCCAGGAAAAAAGGACTACGCTGAAGGTACATGTCCTCTTGCTTACTATCGGAGCCTGCTCACAGGAGGAGAGTTCAACGATTCGGCACCCCGAAGTGCTTTGACGTCGATTTGTAACTGGTCTGGCTCATTAGGTCGTATGCCAGGATTTCCTCGATTTCCAGTCCCACGAGTGTTCCTTCCTCTTCCGCGAGTTATAATTGGGCTTCTCAAGAGGGAAGGGGTATCGGTATTCACAAAAGAGGCGCACATCATTTCCACATCCTGACGTGATCGGTTCACCCGACTGCAACTTCTCAGAACGAACCCCCATGATTTTTTAATAAACATAACATGTTAATCTAACATTATTTGTTTATTTATTTCTATATTCATTCAGAACCTACTATATTACTCCTAACTAAAAGAGACAAACAATGAAAGACCATGAAACTTTAGTGCTGACTTATTTGATTATTCATTTATTTATTTATTTATTTATTTATTCAACTATCTATTTGTCTGCTTCCCGTTCATCTTAACAGAATAGGAAAAAAGAAACAATTCAGAAAAAGAACTGNAAAAAAAAGTCATTCTCGTTGGAAACCATCGGCATATCCCTCAATATATCCCGGCCGGTAAAGGGCATTTCAAAGCTAATGTAAAAAAATCGTTGCGACGTTTTAAAAGTGGATCGTGGCCCGACCGTCGGTTTTTTCGGTGATCCGAGCCGTTCGCGGACCGATCGCCGCACTGAGGCTAGGTCTTGACAGCTTGACACATCACGACCACGATCCCAATTTTGAATCCCTTCCAAGTCACTCAAGCATCACAACATTCTCCTGACTCCTTCGGCATTGATGTTTACTGTTATAATTTGTTTTTCGTTTTGTTTACTAGTAAATATACTATCAAGAAACTATTGAGCGAGCTCCGAAAGGGTCTCGATGATAAAGTGGGTCTCGGTGCTTAGGTAGGGATTTGTCTTCCTTCAATGTCGAACATCACCCTGTAACTCAACATTTAACGTTGCCATCACTGATATTATTATTATTACTATTATTATTTTTACTATTATTATTATATTATTGTTATTTCAATTGTCCCGTTGGTATTCTCAGTCCTTGTTATTATCACCATCATTTCATTCCATGACTGCCTTGCTAATGTTCTTATTGTTGTTACTCTCACAAGGATGGCTAAGTTATTCTTTCGATTACAATAAAAATATAATAATAATAATAATAATAATTCTACTGATTCTTGGTAGTGTAAGGGATTAAGTGTACCACGCTCAGAAAACATAAGCACGAGTTCGGATCCCGCCCAAGGCCGAACTTTTTGTCCATACTTCGCCAACCTTGTGAGACTTTCGCTTCCCGTGCCCCGTACTGCGGCGAAATAATAGTGGATACAAAACATTAAGTCAGAACCAATTGCTAATATTATTTTTTATTTATATCTATTTGATTTTCTTTGGATTACTACCATCACGAGTTTAAAGGCTTTTCCATGCCCGATGAGCCAAACTTTATTAGCTGTTTTTCCATCTGAAGGTGCTTCCGTTTTGACAGCGCTTCTTTGTAGCGAACATTAATGAATAACTGAATAAATATAATAAATAATACATTGTTTTCTCCCAATAATAAATAGAAAATGGTGAGGCTAAGTAAAATCATGGCCATATCCATTCTGAATTCACTGGAATGAAAATTCACTAGTAGTTCATAGGAATTGAAGATATCGAACTTCAGAAACACCAACATACTCCAAGAAAATTGATAAACAGATTCAAATTTATGTCTATAGCAGAACATCTGAAGAGAAAAGATTTTTAGATCAACTGCCTACGAACGGCTTCATGCACCCTTAAAGCCCCTCTTTCCCTCTAAGTAATTTTGAAGGCTTGTTCCTCTACCCCAGGGCATTCCAAAAACTGGTTTTTCAATTGGGTTTAGTGAAAGGAACCCTAAAAGTCTGTCTTTGGAGGAGATGAACTCATAAAAATTGTAATCAATTTGAAGGATCGCAATCACAGAATTAACTGAATCATTCTGCAAGAGTTAAACAACTTTCAAAGTTTTATAACTGGGCGTCTCTAAATGTCTGGCTTCTTCAGTTTCTATTCTCCAACGTTTCTTCTTTTCCAAGTTTTTAGTCTCAATCTCAAAAGAAACATGGCTAACCATAAAGACTGAGAGTCTTTCGTTTCGTATTACATTATATGATCACTTCTTACCAAGTGTTATCACGTCTTCTTATCGTAGATTATCACAGGTTATCACTTCTTCTTATCTTAGATTATCTGCATCTATCCTGCTCCCTTCACAGCATCGAAACATTAACGTTCTCAGTCTAATGAAATGAAAGCTAGACAATTTTAAGCCCCACTGTTTACACAAACAAATTAACAAATAAACAAGCACCGCAGCGCGCACGCTTTGCGAATTTTATGTAGTATGGTAAATGTACATTTAATCAAAAATATATTTTTCATAAGAACAGCAATAACTACAGTTATCCATCTAATACTTGAAAGCTCAGTTAGAGGATCGACCAATTTTTTAAATAACTAATAATTAGTGAACCTATAGGAAATAACATTATAACTGAACAGCAACCTTTTTTCCAAGGCTCTCACCCTCATTCGATGTTCCAGTCAGTAGCACTTTCACCTATGTTCCAAGCAGGTTACGAATACCCAACCACTTAATGAAATACATTAAGTACCAAGTACGGCTTTCTATGAACCTCGGCATGACTGTATTATTGAGATTATTGTTATTCTGAACTCTTCACGAGGTTTGTAAACAAGCTTTATTAGGCTGACGTTTCGGCGATATCGCCTTCTTCAGAGCCTGAAAGGATCATACCAATTTGTTATTACCCGATCAAACGTCTCCACCAACTCACCGAACTTCGAACCCCCCAGTGCACACAAGTGATCGAAAGGAGAGGCACTCACCGTAGCTTTGTGGAATCTTCGAAACCACCCAGCAAGTGATGGTACCAACCGACCAGTGTCAGCTGGGGTAAACCTTCATTAAAAGTCACCGCGGGAAGGCCAATCTTATATAANGAATATATTGGCGAGACGGCAAGACCACTCCACGTGAGGATTAAGGAGCACATAGCTGGTATGAGACGATTAAAAGAGTCTACTGCCTTAGGGAGCCACCGCATTCGAAAGCATAATGGAGGCGTTTTTGAGGTTACCGTGGAGGTCGTAGCACAGGAGTCAGAATTGTGCGCACGCAAAACCCTCGAGGCATTTTGGATTCAAGTCACCGATCCAAAAATGAATCGTAGGGAAGAATGCCTCGCAATCACGCGGGAGCTGCGGCCTTATATAAGATTGGCCTTCCCGCGGTGACTTTTAATGAAGGTTTACCCCAGCTGACACTGGTCGGTTGGTACCATCACTTGCTGGGTGGTTTCGAAGATTCCACAAAGCTACGGTGAGTGCCTCTCCTTTCGATCACTTGTGTGCACTGGGGGGTTCGAAGTTCGGTGAGTTGGTGGAGACGTTTGATCGGGTAATAACAAATTGGTATGATCCTTTCAGGCTCTGAAGAAGGCGATATCGCCGAAACGTCAGCCTAATAAAGCTTGTTTACAAACCTCGTGAAGAGTTCAGAATAACAATAATCTCAATGACATTAAGTACTTCTAAACCAGTTTCAT